TTTGTTTGTTTGTTTGGTGGTGTTTGTTTCGTATTATTTTTTGCGCTTTAAAACTTTATAGCAATTATTGAACATTAGATTGCGGTGTATTAGGCATAMCTGTTTACAAAGCAAGCAAGGCATCAAAAAATGCAAAAGTTTGAATTTTTAAGGCAGAACTGCACCACACCAACAGGGTCATCTGAGTTTTTATCGTGTCATGGAAACAGTAAAAACTGATAAACAGGACGGAGCACTATAGTATTTCTCTATGGAAGGCACCATCTTTAAGTTTATTAAAAAGCCTTTTAGAGATGTTTCAATAGTTATCATGATAATCATGTTGCTGCAGTAAAAGTTTGCAATGTACATATGCATGTATTTGCGTCATTTTAAATTAGCTTCATCTAAGCACACTATAAAAACTGAGACTGTGCAAGAGCACACTACAYTTTTTCCTCCTTATCGTCATAATTTCCTTCGTCATTTTCGTTTATGGTTTGAATGTTGCTTGAGACTCCATCTAGGGTTGGTTGACCCCCAGCATCAACAAAGAGGTTTTCATTGATCTTTGGCTCAGTGCACACGCCTCCTACTTCTCCCTGTGCGTCACTCGCCAGCTGAAGAATCTCTAGACAACACGATACATTGCACTTTGGCCCGTTTTTCCATGTCACTACAGCTGTGATAATGCTTGACAGATATTTAACTACAGAAAAAAATAATGAAAATACTGAATTTAGTCCAAGACATCCATGATAAAAGTTTTTTTATCGAGATGGCAGGGGATACAACAACCAGCAGTAGTTATTTATTAAAGAAACACAATAAAAAATGGGAAATACTGAAAACGTACCTGCTATTATAGCCACAACAGCAACATTTGCAACAACAAGTATTACCGCCACCATCAACTCATCGGTTTGCTCGCCGACACCAGACGATGTTTCTTCTGAAGGAACCTTCATCAGCATACCAACTGTAAAGTTGACAGAACTTGCAARCAGCGAAGCCATTTGCAGCCAGTACTCAAACGTATCTTCAATAGGCTTGTAAAGGGCAAACAGTACAGAGTACATCCCAGAGAACATTGAGGTCAGGCCCAAACTCGTGCGGCTCTCAGCATTCATCAATATCAGCAGGGAGCTAAAAAATATTTTACGGGCCAATTCCAATATCTCCCAGAACCAACACATTGGTGAATAATTTTCATAGAGGAATCGAATACCATGTAGTATGGGACCGTTATCATTTGTACCAGCATCACCAAGCTTCCCTTGTCTTTGGGCACGTCTTAGAATAAAGAACAAGGTTAGGGGGAATCCAATGCAGTAGACAATTGCTATTGTACTCAATGTGCCATAGATGTCATGTTTTGGTGTGTTGCACTGGACCGAGTAATCTGCCCTGAGATACGAGTTGCAGTTGATGTCTTKGTGAGAGCAGATYTTGTGGCAAGCAGCGGGCAACATCTGTAGAATATGAGTACACGTTGAAGGGAATGTGATGAAGAGGAGCAGGATCAGGCATCGATAGGACTTCTGTTTGTATTCAATCTCTTTGACTCTCTTGCCTTCATTGCTCATACTGCTTTTGTTTTTCACATAGCTTTTTATTGAATATCTTACCAGCACTCCAATAAACACTAGCATTGCACTGATACCAATGCTGAATAGGAAATTTGCATAAGCGTCTGACTTTAAGGTACTGTCGATGCAGTTCAGAGGAGCAATCTGTATGAGATTCAGTTGAAGAAGTTTGGCATACTTCATCAGGGTGCGAATCGGCCCGGGCCATTTGATGTAGGAAAACGAATCAAAAGTAGACGAAGAAATCTGGTAAAACCCAATAATGATTTTAAGTCTTGCAAGGAAAATGTCGGTGAGTGTACGACTTGACTGAACTGCTTGCTTCTTTTTTTCCCATAAGATAAAYAGGATGAAGAAGACAAGCACAACAACTAAGAAGACCATCTGTGCGATGATCCAAGGAAGAGAAGGGCACGTCTGACATTTTGCAATCATGTTATAGTATCCTGTATCACATACTGCACACAGAGGTCCCGTATAACCGTCACCGCATTTTGAGAGATATCCACCTAGACACGATCCTTCAAAGGGACAAGCATTTACGTCAGGAATTGAGTATATGAACTTTCGTTGCTTATAGCTTGCATCTGGTATGCTTAAATCTTTYGTGAATCTTTCGTAGTCCTGCCTAAGTTGCTGGCTTTTCCAGACCCAGTAAAATCCAGAAGCTAGATCAACGCTTTCGTTTGAACACAAATAGCCATTTCTGCAGATTGTACATGGTCCAAATCGGTCCAAACGATAGTAGCCATCAATGCATCGACATGCACGAAATTTGGCAAAGTGTTTGGAATCTGTTCCTGTCATTTAATAAAGTAAAAATAATAAAAAATCATCCTTTTATGCATGTTTTAAGGATGTRTMACCCCGAGCAACAGAGAATGAATTCAACACTTCGCTTATCGTATAGATAATGYTTATTACCTCTTGGACATGACTGGCAGTCTGTCTGGGATTTACCAGGCGCGAGTTCCGGTTTAACATACGATCCATTAGGACATTTTTTGCATCCATAACCGAGGTAAAACGGTCCTATGTAAGCTGTTTGGTCTTGATAGAAGCCACCTTAAGAATATTGAATGCATGTTAAGGTAAGGTCAAATGTTGAACTTTACATGAGCCGAACCTAACTGTATTTGGGATCGACCCATATAATTAAGTTMGACTGAGTGAGTCAAACGTCGAACTTAATTATGTCTATCTTAAAATAAATAAAACCAAMCAAATCATGTTTAATGTTTATGCAGTCAGCGGTTACACCATCATAATGCCAGTCCATAATCAAATCAACTGCAGCAGCCATGTTGAAAAAAAGTTGTTAACGGCGCATGCGTGGTGATAGAATAATTAAAATGAGAGCAAAACTTGATTTAACATGATTTATGCGTTAAGATAGGGCTCTTGTGAGGTTCGACGTTTGACCCCAAGTCGATCTACAGTTGTTCTTCCCCACTTATTTCGAACAATTAAGTTCGGCTGATGTCAAGCTCCACGTTTGATCTAAGCCTTATAGGTTAACTTTATTTGAAACTAGCCTAGCGTTAAGTTATTTTGTTCTTTATCAATTTCAAGATAAATCCCCTTATTTTAATATTCTGTTTTTGTTTGGTCAAAGTATAACAAACAAATGAACAAGTAAACGAATTTGGAAAGTGAGAAAAGAAATGAGTTGAATACAAGAAATGAGACAAAGCTGGCGACGAGCGGGCAGACGGTCGAATGAGCGCACGAAAACAAATGATGTAAGAATTGGGAGCATGAGCTCTTACCTGCAGGGCACACGTCACATTTCTTTCCGAACGGAGACTTAAAAGTTCCCCTGGTACATGCTTTACAACGCAAAACCATTCTACTAACGGTACATATAAAACCGGTATTGTCAAAAAAAGACAAAAAAGAACTGCCGCTTTCGAGCTGTAAACTGATGTCTGCATCTGCATTTCCAGATCTGAGAAAAGAACCATCAGAATGTTCGAATCATTTTAGTAGACATTGCACAACATGATAAACAATAGATAACAACTGAAATTARTAYATAATTGATAAATGATTGTGGAATAGTTCTAGTCATTTGCAATTGTGTTCTAGTGTTTTCACATGCAAAAGAGGCTAGTCAGTCCAGAGCAACAACAGGTATTCAAATAAGTCGCCATATTTCTATTCGTTGTATAAAGCTTAAGTAAATAAATTCGCATAGCATTTTGAAAGTAGAAAATTGGGCCTCCAACCCAATTTTCGTATATTCGTACAACAAAGGAATTCTTTTGAATCTTTCAACTGAAAATCTTAAGTAAAGACTAAATTTGAGTGGTGTGGGATTGTCAGGAGATGATCAAATAAGTGAAAAGAAATTAAGCACTAGCTTGTTTCAGATTATTACTTACACAAGGAAGGTAATTCTGCTCTGCTGTATGGGCCAAATTTTAAGCGGAACAATCAGCTTGGTATCCAGCAACGTGCTGTGAATGTAAAGCTCGAATATTATTTTGCTTTTTTAATTTTCACATGAGTTTGAAATGCAGTATTAGTAATTAGAATAGAGGTTAATAAAAAACTAACAGGTCGAGCGACCATTTTAATTTAAAAATCCTTACACTATTTTGAGAGTTGGAACACCATGAAACGCCTCGTCTTCGATAATTTTGACGGGATTGTTTGACATCATTCTGTACAAAACCAAAGACGYTTTCCATTATTACAGACCTATTCAAGTCTAGATCATTTTTGGGTTATGGTCTTTATTTCTGTTTGTCTTCCCTTTGTTAACCTATCCTCCATGCTAGCCAAGTTTACTTTTTTTTTCTCACTCTCTCTCTCTCTCTTCGATTCAATCTTGTATCCAGAGCCCTTTTTTACTGCGCATGCTTAACATTGTCCATTTTAGAGCGTTTTAACTCAGTCACTGTCGTGGAGAGTTAAATGGTGACAACAGAGTTGACAGCAATACTCGTGTACCTAACAAAAGAAGCTAATGACAAAGTTATTGTCGAAGGTACACCAATATTGCGGTTGTGACGTCATGTGAAAATGCTCTATTGTCAAACTTACAGGAAAAAAACGTTAGGTGTAGCTTTGAAAGAATGGTTTCTGACTTCCCAAACTCTAATGTTATCTATATAACTATGGAAAAAAAGGCACTAGTAATTGTCTTTTCCTATGAGAATAAATGAACAAAAGCCACGAAAGAAGGTTTGTGTATCTTACATATAGTCAATATATATCTTGCTTAAGTTCATATATGGGACCATTTCCAAATTGTTATTGGCTAAAAGCCTGGAGAGAAATTTAAAAAATTAATATCGCTTTAGACAGTAAATAACTAATAGCATTTAGTTTATTAGTAATAATTTAATAAAATGTTTAGYACTTACAGATCGCTTAACTGTTCATTATTCTCAAAGCTAGGCAAAGTGGTCAATTGGTTATTTTGTAGATTCCTTCAGAACATGAAATAAGTAGTTTAGGAAAAGCTAGGAATTTTAAATATATATTTAACTATATGACAATTTATATTTATTATTTTTGTAATCAGTATTTTAAAAAATCATAAAGCTTTTGATTACTTAAAAAAATTTCCCAACCAGAAAAAATGTACAAAACTGAGTTCTCACTTGAAATTACGAATTTCCATGGCACCAAATGAAAGAAAGGTTAGAATTCAGTGATTGATAACAATGACACAATAGTTAATGAGTTTTGTAATTTTATTGCAATGGCGGGCATATTTCGTTTTTTTTCGCTGGTAAATTTGCGCAGGCCTCATGACACCTCGTGACGTCAGCTGGCTGCTTTGATTACTCACAGTTTTGAGAGTATGGTGTTTGTAGAGAGCAATTCCTTCGGCAATTTCTTTAGTTCGTTATTATGTAGTTCTCTAGAAAAAAGGCAAGTTTTAAAACTATGCCCTACACGGCATGCATTTATTAATTTTGCGTTTATTTTTTATCACTTACARAGTATTAAGGTCTTTCAGTTTTTGAAAGCTCCTCACATCGAGGTGCTTTAACTTGTTTCCCTCTAAATTTCTGTGTTACATCAATTGAGAATGTGTGGTATCATTGTTTACGAAAGAAGAAAATTTGTGTCTGTGAGTATATATTGGTTTGATAATGTCATTGAAAAGATGACTGCATGTAAACGCGGGCAGATAGACATACGGGGGAATGGACATACCTGGGGGGGATGGAACATGTRAATTGATGGAACGCTAGATGAATCAAGATATAGATTGATGTATAAATAGGTGGTCAATTTCCATTCATTCCTGATTATTCTGGTTTAGCAATGAAAATAGAAGTCTTTCRCTTACARTCCTGTGAGATRTGTTAAGAATTTGAAAGACTCAGCTGTGATAATTGTAATCCTGTTTCTGGCAAGATTTCTGATATTTAAAGTCAATTTTCATGAAATAGTAGTGGCATTATATCAACTCGTTTTATTAAGCAAATTTATACAGATCATTTGTACATTTTATAGTTAACTTATATATATATTATATATATATATTTTTAGTGTTATAAATTCTTAATTAAACATAAAACTATTTTTTCACAATTGTGTTCTTATTAATTACAGAGTTCTTAGATTTGTCAAAGGTTTGAAAACAACTGGTACAATAACTGGGATCCTGTTGCTTGAAAGATCTCTATATTAAGATAAGATAT